TGCAGAAATAGTTCCTCTCTCTATTCTGTTCTAGATTTGTAAATAAATACTAACCCAGAGTATAAATTATTCTCAAGTATACACCATTCTTTAATCCTCTCTGCCTCTGTCCACTGAAGTTTAACCAATTTTCTGTCTTAAATAGTACAGTAAAAGCTCTCTGCTTAAGTGGCTAAAGGGATATATCTCAACCTAGTTTCCTTCTGTTGCCCCCAGGAGCAGAACTATGCTCCTGAAAGCAACAATGACCACTCAAGGAATCATCTGGGGGGATCTGAGAGTCTCAATCTTTATTTTGCCAAAGAACGCAAAATTGTACGAAAGGTTACATCACCATTTAGGAGAATTACGTCAACAAAAATGATACAAATGAATGTATTTACAAGACAGAAACAGACTCACAGACATAAAAAACAAACTTTTATGGTTATCAAAGGGGAAAGGACAGGGAGGGATAAATTAGGAGTTTTGGATTAACATACATACACTCCTATACATAAAAAAGATAACCAACAAGGCCCTACTGTATAGCACAGGGAATTATATTCAATATCTTGTAATAACTTATAATGGAAAAGAATCTAAAAAAGAATATATATGTCATACTAAGTCAGTCAGACAGAGAAAGACAAATATCATGATATCACTTATATGTGGAATCTAAAAAAAGGGTACCAATGAACTTATCTACAAAATAGAAATAGAGTTACAGATTTAGAAAACAAACTTGTGATTACCAAGGGCATAAGGGGCAGGGGGAGGAATAAATTGGGAGATTGGAATTGATATATGCACACTACTATAAATAAAATAGATAATTAATAAGGACCTTCTGTATAGCACAGGGAACTCTACTGAATACTCTGTAATGGCCTATATGGGAAAGAATCTAAAAAAGAGTGGATATATATATATATATATATATATATAACTGAATCACTTTGCTGTAAGAGAAAGCCACCAGAGCAGGAGGAATCAGGAGCTGGAGAAAGGGGATGATGATTAAGTATACATATATAGGAAGTGATTTTTCCCTCTGGTATTAAATGAGGGGCAGAAGCAAGGGCCATCATGATGTCCACAGGATGCCCTGCCACCTTAGACCTCAGCAGAGGCCATGACCTCTGTCTTCCACACGGGGGAGGTGGTCAAGCTGGAGCCATGTGCTGTGGAACAGCTGACCCTCCTTGGCTCTTTGCTTAATGGCACAGAGCATGGGCAAACATGGGTCTATGTGGCAATGGTGTCGCATGAGACACCCAGCGTTTTTGCTTTCTGCGTGTCCTCGTGACAGAGCTCGTCTCTGCAACTCTTAACATAAAGGGCCAGCTCAATGATGAATTACCTCACTGGTCACTTTATGTATTTCTTTTATACTAATTTTTAAAAAGTCTATTTGACAAAAAAATTAGTAACTTGAACCCTGACATATACTTATAGCCTTCTGTACAAGGCATACCACAGAGCCTGGAAAAGTCAGGACTGCCAGGGAACTGAACCTAGCAGAGCTCGACACTCGGTAGTGTGAGGGTCAAAGATTTTTGTCAGATTGGTTGATATCAGCCTTGCCTGTGGATCACATCAGTCCTGATGTGCCTTTTAAAACCAAGGAAAAGTTCTGAATTATTTCCACCAAAGAAAAAGCCTCTATTTCTGAACTGCATTGAAAGACACGCTTTTATTGGAAATGTAAATAGTCACCTTCATGATGAGAATTCTATGGAGAAATGAAGGTCAAAGCTTCCTTAGACTCCTCTCATGAGGAAAACTATTATTTTTTTTAAATGTTATCAATGACACATATGTAGACATATAAATATTTATATGGAAACGTACTGCCTAGTCAGTGAATAGAAATGGGAATAGAAATTATGTGCTCTGGGAATCCTCCCTGGGTGACTGTACTTTCAAATCAGGAGAGAACTGTTTCTTTTGCCATTTCTATCCCTGTGGCTAATGGGGAAAGGTCAGTTTTTCAGATTACATACGCAGAAAGGGATTTTGATTCTTCCTCAGTTTGCGGAAAGGAACAGATGAGAGGCCCCAGAAGGTTTGCTGGGTTAAACCTATAACATAGTTTCCTTGACCCTCAATCTAGTCCTACTTCTGTGGTATTGGAAGTATTGATTGGAGCAGTAATCTATGGTATAGGAAAAGGTAAAAAGTTATCAGGTTAGTTAGTAGAAATAGAAGGCATTAAAGTAGCAAATTTAGGAGAAACTCTGAAGGTAAGAGAGATGATGGAGAGAGAGAAAGACTACAGATTGAACTGTGGAATTATTGGTACTCCCCTAAACCATAAGAGTAGGGCAGAAGAGTGCATGGTAAAAATCCAACCAGGAAGGGTTAAAGGTCTTTGGTCAAAGCTGTACTATGCATTTGCCTCTCAATGCTGCCTAGGCATTGGACCCCACCTTATGGTTCAAAAGAAAAATAGCCTAATTAAAAAAAAAATAATATAACCAATAAATAGGGGCAGAGCTATATATGGCCTAGGAAACACTGTTTTGTGGGAAAGTCTGGGGAGAAGTTGGGTGGAATTGGGTTACAAATAAATAATGATGTCATCATGGGAAATAAAGTGATTTATGCATCAAATGGCTAACTTGAGCCTGAAAACTCCAGAGCAGCTCTTAGGTTTTGTTGGTCTGTTGCTTCTCCCCTGACTTTGGTCAGGATCAGTATCAGGCAGAAGTAAGGAAGCAAAGTACTATACTGGTTTAGTCTGCTCTAGCATGGGCAATAGGAAGGAAACTCCAGATGCTCTGAACCCCATGCCTGGAATAAGGTGGGATTCTCATGCTCCTGGAGCTTCACAGAAGAGACAGGAAGTCTGGGAAGCCTAAGGTTTGGATCAATGACCTGCCTTTGCCATTACTTCAAGGAACTGGGCCCAGTCACGAGGATGGGGGCCCAAAAACATGAACAATAACAATAAAGCACTTATACCTCCCTTACATGTCAGCATTTTAAGTCCTGCTCTAGGACCACACGTTTAATCGTCACAAAAAACCTGTAGCACCAGTAGGAACTATTAATCCCTTTTAAGAAATGTGCAGACTGAGGCTCAAAGGATTATACATTATTTGTGGAAGGTCAAACCATAGGTGGCAACAGAGAATCCAAATTTCTGAACTCTTGTTCCAGTTCTCTTTTCCATTTTAGTAAGTAGAGCCATCATAAAGTGGAGTCAAAATCATAATCCACAATTAATGCAGAAATTTCCAAAAGGCATTACCTCAAATTTTAAGGAAATTACAAGCTTAAAGTTCATATATTTCCTTTTAAATAGTTTTTCCCAATGGAAATAGATGAGGCAGCCTGGTCTTAATGTCTGGCTTATTCTCATTGCTATTTCTAATGATTACAAATAAATAACATCTTCAAGTTTCGATTCTAAAGTTAACAAAATGGAATGCATCTGGTAATTTGTTCTGGTAACATTCTAAAATTGAACAGTGGTGGGAGGGAGCTCAAAAACAGGCTAGACAAACTCTTTTATGGTTACTTGATACTCTTGCAGGATGATGACAGTAGTAGCAGTTAAGATATAACTGCTTCCTGTGCCCTGAAAACACCTGTTCTAGGTAAGAAGCAAAACTATCAATAGAAGTGGCAGTAACTGTTGTGAGCATCTCCCTGCAGTATCAGGAACACATCTGTAGTTGCATGTCCCTGCCAAATCGTGTTTAGTTTGGGCATCATCTTTCTTTTGATAAGTCCTCTCATTTTCAAGTGAATGAATTTGAGTAAAGCTAATTAGGATTAACTACACTTATGAAAGGTGTCAGGATTGGCTACACTTATGAAAGGTGTCAATGAAGGTTAAAGTGTTCCTTTTTTATGAGAGTCACGCTCTTTGCACTCTGAGATTCTCCTGTAAACTTACAGGACCTAGGGCCTTTAAGCTACATACTGTCTTTAATTAACTCAATGGTTAGAAACAGAAGTTACTCTCCTGGCAGATGAACTCAGCATGAAACATGGTTTGTCTAATTGTTGCAGACGTATAGTAATAAAGACTGATAATGCACAAAAGAGATTAAAACAGACAACTCTCAGAACTCCTTAGTTACCATTAAGTTAGTAGGTTCAGTGAGGAAAACAAATGTAGAAAACTATTTTTAAAGTCCTTAAAGAATGTTTCATACGGTCTTTTGAGACAGGCCATACAGCATTTCTTACCTGAGAAGTGTACATGTCAGAAAACAACAATCTTCACAAAATTATTTAGAATTTCACAGGAAAGAATTTTCCACTAATTTTATGAATGTGTATATGTTTGTATGCCACACATATGTGCATATGTATATGTTTTTGTACATACACATATATATGCATTTTATAAATAAATATATCTTGGTGGACAGTCATTAGTATTAAAATTGTATTGACGTTTTTACCTGAGGTAAACAGATATTGCATATAATCTCTAGATTTGTCCATATTCATGAATTTGTTCCCCTTGAAACAGAGGTAACTATTTTGCTCTAAACCATGAAAAGCAATGTGTATCCAATAAAATCCAATTCACATTAGTTGAGAAAATGAAACTATATCTCTAATCCTTGGGAGGACAGAGGAATGATATAACAAAACAAAGAGCACGGCTGTGTCAAAAAGGGGCTGGAGATCAGGATGCTGGGCTGACAGGCACACGAACAGTTAGAGCTCAGCATTTCCTGTGACTTGTTGCTTGAAAAACCGGGGATAACTGGACTTGGATTATCTAACAAACCAGTTACTGAAATGACTGTACGTTCAAATTTTGTGAAATAAATGAGACTTTCTCATGTTTGAGGGCTCTGCACAAATGTAATAATGCTAACCATGAAAACAAGATCCTTTTTTTTTTACTTTGGAATGTTATTTGACATGTAACATGAAATAAAATAATTCATGAAGTTATTTAAAGTTAAAAAAAAAAAGTAGTGTGTATCCAACATTATGAACATGTCTTCCATCTGACGTTTGAAATGGGTGAAGTTAAAATTTCTTACCATCCAAGCTGTGACAAAGTCCCCCATCCAGGTCCCTACTGCAGCTAATTTCATGAAACTTTCATTTCGGATGCCCATATAGTCTGTAATGATATACGCTCTGTGGAAACAAACACACAAGACATTGTCCGGACTCAGAGAGCCATACAGTCAAAGCTTTCTGGTTCAGCAACACGCAAAGGGGCTTTTTCCCCTTTCCACAAGCTTTCTTGCTTTCATCTCATCATCTATGCTTACAAATCTGAAAGGCTAGGAGGAGCTCTGAGGGTGTCTGGGTCAGTTCTAATTAGATTTGAAGACTGACTGTGACTATACCAATTACCACGTGCCTTTTGTTTTTGAGCTATAGGACTGACAATAGCTTTTGGAAAATCAAACAGAAATACTCAGCAAAGGCATCATTTCACACTCACTCAAGCATGAGGAGCGCAGAAACAATTCCTGAATTAGAGTAACTTGAAAGGAAGAGAAGAGTTCACTTTCCTTCAGTTCTGTTGAGTCAGAACTATTGAAAAGGTGCTGGGAATAGGCTTTAAGTATAATATATCTGAATAATGTTCAGAAGAATATCAAGATTAGAGAAAATTTTCCACACAGTGATGTAAAAATTGACTCAAATATACGTGGTTTAAATTATTACTTAAATAGCAATAACCAGAAGACTTCATTTCATCACTTTTTACATAGTTAATTCTTGTTTGCTTGCTATATAACACCAATTCATACGCCTCACAGCTGAAAGAGAGATTCACAGGTACACCCAATCATTAAATACAAGTAATGTGACCATGCTTATTGTTTATTAAGCATTTTCATTTTCTTGTTTGATAGTCAAGAAAATTCTAAGTATCATTTTTACCATCTTGTAATTTCTCTGAGAAAAATGGGACTCACAGAGATCACTTAACCTGCTCAATCAATACCACATAACAAATGGATGGTAGCTAGGAACCAAATTTGTCTCTCTCTCTATTTTTAACTCTCAGTTTTTCACTCAGACTTCTTTTACTTTGTTTTTTTTTAAAGTTATTGGGGTTAGTTGCTAGATTTCTTTTCCTTTAAATTTTGTTCCTTTTCTTAAACGTGATAATACCTGTACAATTTAGAGTGCCAGTTAAATGTGCCTCTGCTTAGATTAACTTCATTTTTTAACTTTTTATTTCATACTGGAGGATTAACTTTAAAACAACATGCAGTAGGGAATGATATGTTTGTTAGTTATCTGTTGAAACTATGAAGAAGCACATTTTTGAAGTTGCTGAGAATTAAACCATTTCCAATTCAGTTATTTTTTTCCAGGGTTATTTCAGATAGTTTTTTATCCATAACATAAACAGGTGTTTACATAGTTTTTTAACAACAAAAACAAACTTATGAATTCTTAAAACAGTTCTTTTTCCACATGCTTCATTCTTTGGAGGGGCTGTGTAAATATCTTAAAGTCTATGGAGGGTCTATGTAAATATCTTAAGGTCTCATCTCAAAATTCTGGGTCTCTAATTCCATGTGCTTCCATAATAGCCAAAAAATTTTTAGCTACCATAAATTGCATGCTAGCGATGTTCTAGAGATTGTTATTAGCACTTTGAAAACTGAGTCTCCATCAACTTTCATATCAGAAAAGTGAAATGTATTGTTATTCCTGTTTCACAGATATGGAATTAAGGCTTTAGAGAGTTTTTGCAACTTTCTCAAGGTCAAGCATCTAGTAAATGGGCAAGATTTGAATCTAAATTTGATTGACCCCAAATCCAGGCACTTAACCACTGTGCTATACCTTCTTCCTACAAGTGTTAGTAGAGATATAGAAAACACAAAGAATATCTCTGTTCCCCAGTATTTTAGTAAGACAATGACAATCAAGAATTACTTCCTGTGAAGATAATTCATAATAAGAAGTCAAGAGTCACATCCAGAAGCTTCAACTCCCCAGAGCTACCATTAGGTTTTGGACTCCCACTTATACTGAGTTCATCCATCTAAGCAGTTCTTGGGCAGTGAGCTCAGTGTACTATGGAGTATTAGCTCTGTTGATTGTCCAGCTTTTTCAATGACACCTATTTTGAAGATTTCGTTCAATGATACATCTCTACGTGTCCACTCTGCCAAGTAATTCTAGAATACATTGGGCTAGGGTAGAAATTTCTGGCTACATTCTTTGTGGTTGTATAGATGTGTGTAAGGGAAGGCATCATTCTTCTATTTCAGTATCTAAAAATAGGGATGAGATGGTAAGCATGCAACAGGCCAATGATCCAGCCAAGAACAACTAAGAGATCTAAACAAAATATAAAAGTCACTCCCAAAATCTGCTTAAAGGCATCTGAGAGCTGATGAAGCAATGAGGACAAGAAAAACCAAGATACCAGATTGGAGAGAATTGTGGAAAGGTTAGCTATACTATATTTTCTCTGGAGACATTAACTGATTCTGTGTGCAAGGCAAGAAGAGGAGGATCTGGGGTTTTCCTGGGCAGAGGGCAGTCTCAGTGGGTTAGAGGGGCAACATTTGAAATTTAAGGAGCCAAGATTCTTGTGAGAAAAGAGAGGCCTAGAAGAGAACATGACACACAGTTGGTTGTCCTTTCAAGACATTTACCAAATTATGAACTTGAACACTGGGGATGCTGAGAGACTAAGCAGAAAGTCTCTGTAAAGTATAGCAGAGGTTTGGCAACTTCACCATGCTGAGGAAACTATTATAGTTCAGAGCCTGCTAGAGAGAATGGCCCAAGATATACAGGGATGTGGCAGGCTAGAGAAAACCAGAGATGGATGGGTCCTTGATGAAGCTGTAAATCAGTCCTTACCCAGTCCATTCCATGACTGAATTAAAGTGATCAGCTTCTATTCTTTCCAACTAATAGAGGAAAGAGTGAACCTTTTCAGGAAGAATAAAGTATCATCTAGATCCTCTATACATTTTTATGTATAAAATCCATCATTCATTCAAAAATCACTAGGATGTTAAGAAAGAGGTTCCCATCACTGAAAACCATGAGAGAAGACAATAGCTAAAACTAGATAATAAGCTCCAGGAGGACTGGGACTTATTTTAGCTAATTTTTTCACTGTTAATTCCCCAGAACCTAGAGCACTGCCTGAAAAAAGTAAGTGATCAATAAACATCTGCTTAATGTATGAATTAACAAAGTGACCCAAGTTATTCATATTTATTGATATATTACATAGGCAAACCTATGTATATTAAACCTTAGAAACAGCAATAAAATAAGATTGAATTATGAAGAACTTTACCACAGAGAAAACCATTAAATATGTTTTTTAATTGTTTTGTGTTTTCACTTCTCCAACTACATTTGTATTTCCTTGATTGCAGAATAACTGTCCTGTATTCATCTAGAAAGATATGTCAGCACAAAATAGGGGAATGTCACTCCTCTGTGGCTGTGGGCACATGGTGAGTACTGGGCATAATAATGCAAAGGAGGTGGCACAGAGAATTTATGAATTAATTAATATATTTAAAAGTGAAGAGTGATATATATAAAATATAGTAGTTATTCTAGACATCTCTCCAAAGAAGACATACAGATGACCAACAGGCACATGAAAAGATGCTCAATATCGCTAAATATTAGAGAAATGCAAATCAAAACTACAATGAGGTATCACCTCACACCAGTCAGAATGGCCATCATCAAAAAGTCTACAAATAATAAATGCTGGATGGGGTGTGGAGAAGAGGGAACCCTCCTACACTGTTGGTGGGAATGTAAATTGGTACAGCCACTATGGAGAACAGTATGGAGCTTCCTTAAAAAACTACAAATAGAACTACCATATGACCCAGCAATCCACTCCTGGGCATATATCCAGAGAAAAACATGGTTCGAAAGGATACATACACCGCAATGTTCACTGCAGCGCTGTTTACAATAACCAAGACATGGAAGCAACTTAATGTCCTAAATGGATAAAGATGTGTATATATATATATATATATATATATATATGCACAATGGAATACTACTCAACCATTAAAGAGAATGAAATATGCCATTTGCAGCAACATGGATGGACCTGGAGATAATCATGCTAAGTAAGTCAGAGAAAGAAAAATATAATAGGACATCGCTTATATGCAGAATCTAAAAAAATTGATACAAATGAACATATTTACAAAACAGAAACAGACTCACAGACATAGAAAACAAACTTATGGTTACCAAAGGGGAAAGGTGGTGGGGGGAGAGATAAATTGGGAGTTTGGGATTAACGTATACACACTACTATATATATATATTTTTTATTTTATTTTATTTTATTTTTACTTTTTTGCGGTATGCGGGCCTCCCACCGCTGCAGCCTCTCCCGTTGTGGAGCACAGGCTCCGGATGCACAAGCTCAGCGGCCATGGCTCACGGGCCCAGCCGCTCCGCGGCATGTGGGATCTTCCCAGATCGGGACACGAACCCGTGTCCCCTGCATCGGCAGGCGGACTCTCAACCACTGTGCTACCAGGGAAGCCCTACACTACTATATTTAAAGTAGATAACCAACAGGACCTACTGTGTAGCACAGGGAACTCTGCTCAATAATCTGTAATAACCTGAATGGGAAAAGAATTTGAAAAGGAAGAGATAAATGTATATGTATAACTGAATCACTTTGCTGTACACCTGAAACTAACACAATATTGTAAATCAACTACAGTCTCACATAAAATAAAAATGTTTTTTAAAATGATATATTGTACCAAAAAAAATTAGTAGTTATTCTTAATTTTGCTGTTTTGGACAAATATAAAGAAGAATTACAAATATGCAGACCTGCCATAAAAACTTTCAACCACTAGTTCACTGATTTGCACATTCATTAACATTTAACAATACTTCCTGCTCAGGTTGTAAAGGACAGAGTGTACATATATTTATATCAGCAATTCTGGCCAGTTTGAATATCACATTAGACTCTGAAAATGTGAAGTTGTGGAGTTTATATACACAACAGTTTAAATTTTATTTGCTAGGAGGCACCGTTAAAGTTTTAGTTTCGTTCAGAGTTTTAGCTAATTATTTCAACTAGTCATACATCTTTTGTTTGTTTTGCTTTGAGCTTTAGCTCGCTTTCTATGCTT